GATCACAGGGTGGTCTGATGTTTTCTGACAATGGGTATTTATTCACTCTTTTACTCAACATATATGAATTGAAACATCACATTTTTCTTAACTAGAACTTTATGCACTACCATAAGCACAGTTGCATGAACACATAGTAGAGAATTTCCTAGAAAGTTAACACATATCTATATAAGCATAGTGGCCTAACACTAATTTTATGCAAAGGATTATTAAGTCTTGTTTCTTTAAGGATATGATTTAAAAATAAAAGTCTTTTTTATTTATTGTCTCAGTCTGTATAGAATACATTTAAGAAGAAAAATCAAGTAAGAATAGTCTGGTGCTTAAAAAAGTTTATAAAAGAGCATGTGAATGCCCACTTTAGATAACTGTGTAATTCACAATGCAGTATGATTCAAAGTGAAAGTGATCTTACCATAGCGACTATATGTACAGACATGAATTATCATATGCATATTCATATACATGTTCTCTCTCACACGCCTACCACTTCTCTCTCTCTCTCTCTCTCTCTCACACACACACACACACACACACACATACACAAATACAAAACATAGTCTTACCCGAGATTTTCGAGATCAAAAACACGATTCAGGTCACAGTCAATGTATCTGGTACACTTCTTCACTGCTCTTGGGTTAGTAATAATTGGTTTTACCTCCAGCCCTGTTCTCTGAATCTCAGTGCCATTCTCTAGCCAATGCTTAACCAGAAATACTCCTGTTAGCTCATTCCCATGAGTTCCTCCAAAGATAGCAACCTTTTTTATAGGTTCTTCAGCAACATGATGAGAAGTCATTTCACCAAGTAGTTTTATCTGATTTCTGCAGTTCAGAAGAGAAGAGATCAAGGGAAACTTAATTTCTTAAGAAAAGTTTAGAAATTTAAATCTGAATGAGACTTTAGCCAAAGTGCAAAGTACAGAGTTCCCTTGAGTGGAGCATATTTTAATTTTCTGTTACAAGTTCTGAGCCCCGTTTTTTATGTGGACACTCCCTTCCTTAGCCCTGCCCTTTGCCATATTTGGATTACAACTAGAGATACAGCTTTTTACTTTAACTTCTAACTCCCTCAGATGGTCAGTAGAACTAAATACAGTAATAAATTAGTATCTCAGACTAACACAAAAATCCTGTTTTCCCCTCAGCTAGAATGTCACCCAATGGGGTTTTCATGATTATTTGTAATAATAAAAAGAGTTTATATAATGCTAACCTCAAAAAATATAAAAAATAAAAATGTGTCCAATTCAATATTTATATTTCCACTGGCATTTAAAAATATTTCATCCCTGAAATGAGTTCAGGCACTTTTAATGATCTGAGGGCATTGGAATCTCACCTCTATGAACTGCCAAAGGCAGATCTTCAGAGATCTCCTCCTGAACCAGCACCCTTTTTCAGAATGCTTTTTCACACTCAGAAACACAAGGACCAAATCAATGATCAGTAGGACTTAAAATGTTACTTTGAAACATCCTTTAATTTCTTTATCATGAAGTTTTTGGTAATTCTGTATCAACTTTCTTATAAGCCTTCCTCATTTTTTCCCTAAACACTAAAGAAAAAGCAACTGTTAGAGATTTTTAAGTCTTTGTAATGCCTGAAAATATCTTGGGACATATTACATATACCAACCACATCTCGTGAGCTTATCTAGATGTGGCCTAACTTACTGGCAGCATGGACTCTCCACTGGAATGTGTTACTCAAAAGGGGGTCTTATTAGGGGAAATCATCCAGAATATTAAGATGATTACAACCCTTTGGTGAAATGACTCTAAGCTAAATCTGATTTGATTTCATACTCAATCACCCAGAAAATCAAATATGTTCAAGTACTGGAAATACTATGCACTAGTAATGCCAGGTTGTTTGATAGGGGTACAACAGGAATAATTCATTACAATTGCAGAGCAATTTAATTTATTATGTAATCTTCTTCATACACCCACTTTGTAAGATGGAGGTGGGAGGGGTTAGGTTTGACATCTCCGTTGCAGGGGTGAAGGAAAGAGACATTAAGTAACCTGATTGAGGTTCCACAGGAACTTAGGAGAAAATTAGGCCTGGGGCCCATATTTCTGATTCCAAGCCTAATGTTTTTCACAGAACAATAGGGTGCCTCTCTGTTATTTTTGGTCTTCTTCAAAGTTCTAATTTTGCTTTTCCAGAATTCACATCAACAGTCATTACATTGTGCTCAGGAAATAAACAAGCACACAAACAAAATACATAGAAAAATAAAATATGAATGCTTCATAATATTTAATAAGCCAGTCTGTATATTCTTCCTTTAAGAAATTATAATGTGAGATGAAGAAAGCAAAATAACAAAATCTAAATTTACACGTTAAAATTACTGTTCTAAGAAAAAGCTCCTGTAGCCTTTGATTTTCTATCCACATCAATATACACTACATGCTTCAGACAGTATAGAGACGATGAACACACTAGTAAATGTTAACAGATGAAGGTTGTATTGTTTAGTTCCTTTGGTTTTAAGAGCAGTAACTATGATGAATTATTAACATTCTACTGTGTTTTGTTTCTTTTCTGCTGATTTGTAGTTTGTTCTGTCCTTTGCCCTAGTCTCTCTGGAAATGCTGCTTCAGTTATTTACTCGTAGCTGGCACAAATGACTTGCATTTTGAGGCTTGTTTTATGGAATTTTAACAGATCAGCACTTTGAAGCACATTTCACATTCATAAGTAAAGTTTCCCTTACATGTCAAAATTAATAACTTTTTTGAGAGTTAATGAATTGCAGTAGTTCTTTCCTATACTTACCTTGTTTATTGTGTACAGAGTTTGTCTTCTGTAAGAAGCTTTATTAGGAAAAAAGGAGAGCATTTCCTCAGAACTAGAGCAACAGAGGCTTTTCATACTCTTATACCAAGTTAACTTCCGAAAGATTTTTAACTCCCTGTTTCCCAAAGCACACTCGATTTTTGGGACCCACAAAAGCTACACATTTTTATTAGTCTAGTTCTTTTTTGAGAGTTCAGAGAACTGATAGTAGACAAAGTGAAACCCTTTCTAGTTGTCACTTACTTACTATTAAGTTGAATATTTAATATCTTGAGGTACTTAAAAGAGTAAGTATAATAACTTCCAGCATTATATCATTTTGTGGGGAGAGAGGTACCTGATTTATTAATAAAATAATGTGGTTTAAAACAAAAGGAGAGCAAATTTTTACCTCCCAGTCTTGGCTGTCCAACAGATCAATGCCAGAAATTTTGTTGGAGACAAATTTAAGGTGGGGTTGTTTCCCAAATAGTATGATTGGGGGGATAAGGAGGGTCTTCTTTTCAATATGATACATAAGGTGTCTCATACATGCCATGGTTGTCCGGTAGTCATGTAATCAAACTACTCTTACTACTTTAATTTTCTCCTTCCCTGTGGCACTATTGCTGGTTGCCCATCCTGACCAACTTTCCAGGTGGAAATAAATAAGTCATAACCAGAACAAGACAGGGATGCACAGATTAAGTCTATAAACTGCTGGCAAAGATTTCAGATTGCTCATGTCTGCATTCCTTACAGATGTAGCACAGGATATTGCTCATAGTGGGTTTTAGGTTGTTTTCTTTTTTTTAAATGAGCACTCTATTTTTGGGGAGCATGGGTGGGTGTCATATATGTGTGCATATATGTATGTATGTTATATACCTATGTACATATCAGGTCAAAATGTGCTTCCCTGAAGCCTCTTCTCATGTTTTAGGTATGTCTCCTCTCTGGAACCATGATAAATAACAAGTCTTTTCTGACATTTCATTGTTTGAAATATTTTTTTCACAATTAAAGGATGACCCTATTCCTTCAAAGCTATTCCTTACTCTGGTATTCAAGGTCTTCTATTATCTGGTCTCAATCTATCTCTAACATTATTTCCTAACACTTTTCTTTACCAGACATAATTTTCAAAGAAACTACTATGTCTTACTGTCTTACGGTCCTAGGTTTTTACTAACAACCTTTTCTCCAACTCTGAGCCCTTCCGACCTCTTCCCTTCAACTTCCCCAGTCTTCAAATGATCAGAAGATGTGGCAACAACAAAACATGGTCTTCAAACTCAGACAAAACTAGAATTACAATACTTGGCCCATAGTAAGTACCCAATAAATGGCAGCTACTGTTACTAAAAAAGGGCTAACATTTATTGAGCACTTACTGTGTGAGACAGGACTGTTCCTTTTCTCCTTTAATATTTTTAGTGCAATTATGCAAATATTGTCATTGCTATTTGACTGAGGAAGGGAATGTAGGTCTAGAGGGGGTAAGTAGCTTGCCCAAGGTCACAAGGCCAGGAATCCACAGCCTTCCCTGCCAGAAAGCCTGGAGCTGCAAGCTCGGGCCGTCATACCATTCTGCTTCCCTTGCAGAATGTCTCTGCGGCTTACGCGCTCTTTCCCTCCCTTAGCTCCCGCAGCGCAGGCCCTGCCTTGCCGACTGTCCTCTGCCTTCCACGGCTGTCCTCTAAACCCCGGCCGCAGCTCTGCCAGCAGCCTCCTAGGGGCTCTTGTTCCCTGACTAAGTCAGAAATTCAACCAGAGCACGCGAGACACCTATGACTTGGTTTTGAGGCCTGTGCTCTTCAAGTAAACACTCTGCGTTGCCACCAGCATCACATAAACGGAAGTTCACAGCCTAAGAAATTACGATGGGTGCGGGGAAGGGAGGAGCACACTTTTCTGACAAAGCTGGGCAGAGGCCGGGTGGGCAGATCTGCCTCTGCCTCTCCAGTGGCTTGTTCCCTCTCTAGGCAAAACTCTAAAGAGGCAGCGCCATCCCTGCGCTGCATACGTCACAGCGTGAAAATGCAAAGGGAGGCGCGTTAAAGTTATTGTGTTGGTTCCCGGCTAAGGGAGGCGACGCCAGCGACGACACCATGACGCCAAGGCGGGGGCCCCTGCGCCTGCGCGGTCTGCTGCGCGGGTCGAGGTGCGCCTGCGCACAGCCGGGCTTCCCGCGCTTTTGGTGGAGGCCGGAAGGTCCGCGGCTGCTGACGGGGCTGTGTCGACGACGGTTGGCTGAGGCGAGGGAAACCGAAGGTTAAAGTTACATGTCGTGTTGGCAGGAGGACCAAGAAGGGAAAGACCATGTGTTGAGCCTAGTTACCAAACTGTCCCCAATCCCCGGGTGGGTCAGGCGAGGCCTTTGTACGAGAACACGAACCTTGACTGGAGGTTCTCTCCCACCCGCCATGAGGGGCCACGTAGGCCCACCTGGCCTCCGAGGCAACGGTCTTTGCGGGCGGGCTGTGGGAGTGTGTGCGCTCGCTATCGGAGACTCAGCCAACTTTTTGCACATAAATGGCATCCACGACATTATTAACGCCTCTCATATCCATTTGGAAGCTGAGTGTGTACACCCAAGGTGGTCCAGGAGGAGGATATTGCACTTGAAATGTTCTTTGTTTGTTTATTTTGTTTTGTTGGATTCTCGGAAACGTAATAGCCCCCGTAAGCCTCTCTAGGTTTGTGGTGTAAGTCGCATTGGTGTTTCTGTGTTGCGAAAAATTGGCATAATCTCAGATTCGGTTCCTAAAATGGCATCAAGAATATTTTCTAAAAAGCCTACCATATCCAGCTTCAAGCCCAAGACGTGGAAACAAAGCAGAGGCAGTCCCCGACCTCACGTTTCCCAAGTTTTATTTGCGCAAATGATATTTGAAAATTAATATTTACCTCAGCCTGATTTGCGTCATTACTTAGTCGTGTGGCTGTCTGTGTGTGTCTTTGGGTAGTGAGTTTGGAGCAGAAATTATCTTATTTAGGTTCGTATCTTGCCTTTTCATGCAATGGGCAAGTGTTTGTTGAATTAAATTGGGATTGAAATATTAATATATGAGGAGGCTAAACATGGAGAAATTACAACAGACATTGTGGTATGAGAAAAAACAAAGAAAAAACTTGTTTCACTTGTTGAAGTTGTAGAAACAGAATGGAAACTTGTCGTTATGATTATTCTGGATGTGAAGTGAGCACTTAGCCTTTGGTATTATATAATCCAGGAGTTTCAAACTAATGGCCAAAGCAGGTAATCTGCACAGTGTCTTAAAGTGGGACACAGAGTGTGTTCTCACATGGCTGGTTCAATAGTGCATGTTTCCTCCCTGGCCTTATAAACATATAAATTTGCCTGTGTTCCCTCTTTATAGGTCTGGTTCAGAGTTATTCTCATTGTGGGTCCTTGATTCTAAAATAAATTACGTACACTGCATATGTTTAGGAAGCAAGGTTATAGTCATAACTTACTTTGAACAGAGTTGGAAAAATGGATTATGTTACTCAGAAAGCAAAGGACTCTCTAAAGTGTTTACATTTTCAAGTTTGAAAGTATTTTTAAACCATAATTTCAGTAATTACTAAGCTGAGAACTTTGAGTTTGTTGTGAATAAAATGTAAGTTATAAGTTTCTTTCTTTGAAGGTTTAGTCAAACAACTTTAAATTATAAATTTGGAATGCTAAAGAAAAAATTATAGACTTTGATATTGAAGGAAATGAAGCGAAACCTAAATGAGAATTTGACTCGAAGTACAGCAGGTATTGAACATCTTTTATTTTTTACTTTCTATATTTTGTATATACCATGTAAAACTTATATAGTTATAGATGGAACATTTTGGAAGGAACTTGTAAAAACATTGAACATTTAGTCTAGCCTCTTTACTTTTTAGGTCCAAGGTGGTAAAATAACTTACTCAAGGCAAAACATACAGAGCTGGGAATAAGATCATACTTTCCTAGATGGATTCTGGTGTTCTTCCTGTAAATTCTATGTGCTTGGGTTATTCTGTGCTTTTAAGCTGAAAACAAAGAAATAGATCTATTTTTATTTGTATTTGTGACTGACTTGTTCAAAATATTACCAGAAGCACTTCTGTCTTCCTAATAGCTTCTCCTAGCATTTCTGCTTCCCCAACTTATTAGTTAGTATAAGGACAGAGGGTAAGAATGATAAGAACCAGGGGAATGGTGGTGCCACACAATGAAGTTAATAACAACTGTTATTTGTGGTGGATGTGCTGTTTTTAAGACATTTAATTATACATATTTTAATATAATCCTTATACCAATCCTCTGAGATAAGTTATTGTCATCCCTGTTTTCTAGATGAGAAACCGAGGCAAAAAGAGGTGAAATAAGTAGTCTGTGAAGTAGCAGAACCAAGATTTGAACCTAGGAACCTGGCTGCAGAGTCCATGGTTTTAATCATATGTTATCATGTCTATATGTCCTATTGGCACAGAGTTTAAGGAAAGTGCCCAAGTTTATACTCGGAAGTTGTAATTCAAACCTACTTTGAAGTCATAGTTCAAACCCAGGCAGTCTGACTCCAGAGCCCACATAATTCTACCAGTCTTTCATCAAAGAGTTTTCACAGAATCTGTATTTTCCTGTAGTACAAGTGATGATGGGCCAGTTAGAAAATGACATAGTGGCAAGAGATCTGAACTGAAATTTAGGAAGCTTGGATCCTATCTAGGTTCTCTTCCACTGACTTGCTCTGTAGCAGGGGGCAAGCCTTTTGAACCTCTTTACCCTATGAGTTCACTACTAAGTTTTAAAGTTTATACATTGTGATTTTTGGCCTGACTTGAGATACTAAATTTGCCATCTGGAGGAATAGGAGTATTTATTCTCATTTGGATTGGATATTATCATTCTTTAAGGCATTCTCAAAATGATCCACAGAAAATACCATTGCAGACATCTGGGGTGCTTGTTAAAATTGCAGTTTTGGGTTCCAGGCCAAATCTATTGAAGTAAAATCTATGAGAGTGTGATCTAGGAACCTGTATTTTAAGCAGAATCCTGGATAAATTTTGGTTGAATTAAACTTTGAGAACCATGGCCTGAAAGGGTGTGCTACCATAGTCCAAACAGTGGTTAGGGTTTTGGAAAGCATGGTTCGAAGTTTGGTTCTTCCTCACCTCTGTTGTACTCCAAGTGTCCCCTCGAGTGGATATGTTAATTGGCAAGCACAGGAGGGAAATAAAGAAAACAAAAAGGGCATTTAGAAAGGGTTGGGGGATGAGGGAGGAGATGGGAATTACTTCCAAACAAGAGGAATTAAAACAATGTTAAGGTAGAATAAAAAAGGACTTTTGGAGAGACAAATGAGGGTATTCAGAATCTTAAAAAGAATGCAAAAACCAGTCCACGAATATAGAAATATATCCAACTATAAGTTGTATAGTATATAGTAATTATTTTATAACTGGATCTGGTTATTTGCCTGTTATATACTGATATATTGGTGTATTCAATTTAGGCTGTTTGCCTGTACCATTGTTCAATCAGAAAAAGAGGAGCAGACAGCCATTAACTTCTAATCCACTTAAAAATGATCCGGGTATCAGTACTGCTTCTGACAGTTGTGATTTCCCTTCTCTACCAACAGGTAAGAAAATGAGTAAGGTGAGAATTTTCAGGAAATAAAAACTAGGATTATAGAAAATTACCAATTATATTTTATTATAATGAAAATAGAAAGTATATATTTTTTCTTTTTTCCACTATCCACGTATAGAAATTACTTGGCTCTTTCTGAATGTTCTAGTCCGGGAATTTGAGTTTCCTTGTCTACAAAAATGGCTTAGCATTTAAATGGATTATCCAAGGTCTAGAGCCTTTGTTTTAATGACATTGTAACCTACATTGTGGAATTTTTTTTCTTTTTCAAAACACATATGGATATCGTAACTTACATATTTGGTAGTGAAGAATGGGAAAAATTGAGTTGCTTCAGGAACAGGGATAAGTATGCATGGGAACACAGGGAAAATGGAAAAAAGATAGACTTTAGGAAGTTCAGAAGCCCAAGAATTTCCGGTGTTTGGCCCTAGTCTATTTTTCTCTTCTCATGGCATTTTTACTTTCTTCATTTGTTGGCTCTTTACTCTTTGCTATGGTCTGAATGTGTCCCCCCAATCTCTAGCCCAAAATTCATATGTTGAAACTTAATAGCCAATGTGAATAGTATTAAGAGGTGGGGTCTTTAGGGTGGTCATTAAGTCATGAGGGAAGAGCTCTCATGAATGGAATAAGTGACTGTATAAAAGAGGTGTGAGGGAGATATTCCATGCTTCTCTCATGTGAGGACACAGTAGGAAGCACCATCAATGAAACAGAGAGCAAGCCTTCACCAGATGCTGAATCTGCTGGTGCCTTGATTTAGACTCCTTAGCTTCCAGAACCATGAGAAATAAATTTCTCTTTATGAGTTACCCAGTCTAAGATATTTTGTTATAACAGCCCAAATGGACTAAGACACTTTCTTATCCAGTTGGCTTCCTTATAGCTTTAACTAGCATATGAATTAAGTTGCCTTTGCATAACCTTTTAGTTCTAGTTCTCAGAAGTTATCGGTAGACTGCCCTCTGTATCTATTCAAATCCTAGAGACAGAGAGCCTCTGGTTCAGCTCATCTTTTAACTGAGGCCACTAAAATCCTGGCTTAGCTTTATGGTTATGCCTCTTTCCTCTGAACCAATTAGCTGTGGTAGTGGGTGCTGGAGGGTTTTAATGTTTGCTGAATTTTTATTTCCTTCTGGATGAAGGCATGGGAAGGCAGACATTCTGAAATATGCTTGGTACGTGCTGGTTATATACATTTACATTTTGGGGGCACGCTTAAAAAGCATTAATAGGATCTTATACAACTAGAATTTTAAAATATCTTTATATATAGTAATACTTGCTAATTTCATACAGTGTGTTCCCAAAGACCTTAATATATTTCTAAATCTATAATTACTAAATATTTTGTTTTCTTCTACACTTGAGAAATTTTAGGTATGAAGTTCATATTATTCCCATTTTTATGGATAAAAAATTAGAAATTCACATGGATATGCAGAAGTGGGCATTTATCTGGTCCTGTTTCATCATTTAAACAATTTTCCACCATTTAAAATATTTTTATAAGTAGCCTGAATGGTGACCTTGAAAAATAACAATTTGAGCTACTCGACAAGGAAATGTGTCCTCTTGAAGTACTGAACTCTTCAAGCTCTGACCAGGATTACTATTTGTCATATGTATAATAAGATTCTTGTATGGAGTAAAGGATAGGACTACGTCAGTGTTTTTCTAATTAGTCAGGCTGGGGCACAACTGATTTTTTTATAAAATGATCGCATTGGCTTTTATTTGCAACTCATTAATTGTGCAGTATCCCATTTATAAAACAGAAAGGTACTAAGCTGGACATGGATAGCTTGAGCAGAAACAAGGAAACAACATAGTGCAAAAAGCAGATTGGTTAACATCAGGTTACTTCAGGTTATTTTCCTTGTGTGGGTTAAAGCAGAGGGGGCTTCCTTATCATGCTAAATAAAACTTGCTGATTTGGGGATTTGGCTATCATCTCTCTCTCCTGATTTCTCAGAAGGTCAGAACTTACAACTAAACAGCTTAAGTTTCAGTTTGGTGTTGTGGAACCTTGGCAGGAGTGAGTCCATTTTGGGTTGGTCTGCTGAGGTCTAAATTTGATTTAACACTACATTGACACATCATTATCAGCTAGAATCTAGTTTACATTAGAGTTCACTCTTGGTATGACTGTCTTTTTCTATTTTAGATATATTTAGATACACAGATACCATTGTGTTACAATTGCCTACAGTATTAAATATAGTAACATGTTGTACAGGTGATGTTCACACAACAAAGAAATCGCCTAACAATGCATTTCTCTGAGTGTACCCCATTGTTAAGTGAAAGGTGACTGTATCGGAGTACATCACACACAGTAAGGATGAGACTAGATGGTCAAATTTTATGTTCTCTCCCCCTTTATCTCTCTCTAACATACATGCACCATGCATGCATATGTTCTGAGTTCTGATATATTTCTTTCCTTGGGGTGGGATAAAACAAGTTGAAGAAACATTGAATTAGATTGAATTTATGTTACAAAGTATGAGGTAATATACTGGGATTGATTGTGACAAAGATATAGATTAAATCGTTTTCTTTGCTTAAAATACAATGGGGAAGAATGACATCTATAAAAATTAATAAGGTAGGCTCTAACAAATTCTAAAACAAAGTGCTGTTGAAGAATAAGTCCGTATCTTCAAGTTTTTTCTTCTTCAAGATTTTAAATCCCCCAAACTGAATAAGTATGAAGTAATTATTTTGAAAAATACTGCCTGTCTTACTTTTATTTATATTACTTATATCTTTTGAGATTGGGCCTGGGAAGCTATGAATCCAGAGTTGGCTCCTTTAACGAAAACAGTGAACACAGGGTATGTGGAAAAAAATAAACAATGAATGTGTGTCTGTTACTGACTGTTGTTGTTCTTGTATGTATATTTCAATTTCTCAGTTTGAAAATAAACTATTAATATTTAACAAGACATATTTCCTTGAAAGGCAAATACCACATTCAGTTTCTTGTCCTCTGAGAAGTCAAGACTCTATGTCTAACACTATTCAATCAAATACTGAACGAAACCAGTGTGGCTGGAGGTGAGTCTACTTAAAATTTCTCTTTTTTCTTCTATTCCTTTTTTTTCCCTATCCTTCTCTCCATCTATCCCTCCTTTATCTCTTCTTCCTTTCTTTGACAGAATTACATTTAGAAAATTTCTATGTAACTAACTGTAGCAACATTAGCTACATTTTGTAAAAGAAGTTAAGAGAACATGCATATTAAACTTTAAAAATAGGTAAATTTGGCAGCGATTATGTTTCAAAAGAATTCTTCATATTATAATGAAATTTCTGCCCATATTTATTATCATGAATTTATGATTTTGCTTATGGATCATTAATGATCTAATTGATAATAGATAAAGAGACAGAAATCATTGTATCTTAATGTTGGATATATTTAGAAATTGAGAACCAAACAGAATACTCAATCTTACCTCCTAAGACAGTCAGCTGTAAGGTAAACAACAAAATAAGAAAGAAAAATGGAAGCTGAGATACATATACATTTGCAATGGTAGGGGCTCAAGAAGTGAAGAGGACTGTCAGGGAGATGGTGAGGTTACTTGCAATAAGGATCTAAGTTTAATGTTTGAGTATGAAAAAATAAATAGAAAAAGGGCATGGATTATATTTTATGTTGGATTTTAGTGTCCTTGGATAAGTGGCAATATTGAAGGAAGTAATTTTGGAAACACAGTACTGGAAAAACAACACCAAACACATATCAGTCATTGTTAAGTACTTTGTTATATTTTAATTCTTACAACAACCGTGTGAAGTTAATATTACCCTCATTTTTATTAAAGATCTTATATATTTTTCAAAAAGTGGGAAACTTTTTTATGTAGTAGTTAATAAATATATTGAAATAATATTTTTATTTAGAAAATTAGTTTTTTTTTTTTTTTTTTTTGAGACAGAGTCTCACTGTGTTGCCCGGGCTAGAGTGCCGTGGCATCCTAGCTCACAGCAACCTCAAACTCCTGGGCTCAAGCAATCCTTCTGTCTCAGCCTCCCGAGTAGCTGCGATTACAGGCATGCGCCACGATGCCCGGCTAATTTTTTCTATATATTTTTAGTTGTCCGATTAATTTCTTTCTATTTTTAGTAGAGACGGGGTCTCGCTCTTGCTCAGGCTGGTTTTGAACTCCTGAGTTCAAACAATCCGCCCGCCTCTGCCTCCCAGAGTGTTAGGATTACAGGCGTGAGCCACTGTGCCCGGCCAAGAAAATTAGTTTTGATTTTATTATTCATGCTGGTTTCCTCAGGACCAGTCCATAAGTTTCTTCAGGACCAGGGATTGAAACTAGGCCTAGTCAGTGGTTTGGGATGGTCCTTGGAGGCATTGTTCCAGCTGTAGGTGCTAGGAGAATATCCACTCTGATGAGCATTAGACAGAGAACTAGGTAACAGATTGGAATGTGGATGGGCAGCTAGTATAGGACGTTCCAATTTGAAATAATAGATGATGTATCAGACTGTTGGAATATAACAGAAAATCCAGGGGCATAAGACATTGGAAAACCCAAGCAAGTAGTTGGTAATCTGCTGAAAGTCTTTTAAACCAGTTAAAGCTCTAAACTTCAGCTTTAGAGTCTAGGCTAGAGTTGCCATATTTAGCAAATAAAAATACAAGATGCCTAATTAAATTTGAGTTTCAGGGAATAAGTCACTAATTTTTTAGTATGTGTCACAGCCAATATTTGGTACATACTTAAAAATTTATTTGAAATTCAAATTTTTAATTTGGCATCCTGTTTTTTTATTTCTGGCAGCTCTAGTTTAGACTCTCTTGGGACATGGAATATGCAAGAGCAATGCAGGCTTCCATTCTTATAGATATTGTGCTAATTGACAAGTTATGAAGATAGATTTTATTTACCAGAATTTGGGATATTGGACAGTTTGGTAAGATTATTAAGGATGAACTGATTTTATCATATCTTCTAGCTTTTATGCTAAATCGGTCTTACACTCTGGGAGAAACTGAGATTGTACTTTGTAGTGAAGAAATCTCAGTTTAGGTGAGATGAGGACTTTAGAAGCTGGGAATTGGGTACAACATGGCAAACAGGTTCAGGTGGATACATAAATTGTTTTTAAGGGAAGATAGGGATTTTATTTTTTTCTAAAATAACTTACTGTTCTCATTATAAAAATAATACAATAATTCTAGAAAAAAATGTAAAAAGAATAAAGTTATTCACAGTTACACTGATTCAGAGTTAACCATGTAATTTGTTTTTAAACAGAAAAACCAAGCCATTTTATCTCTTTTAAGCCTTATATTATCTGTGAAAAAAGAGTTGAACTAGATGATATCTAAAGTACTTTCAGTGGTAAATATGCATGGTGGATAAAACATACAGTTCTTCTGATGTATTTATGTAACCTTTGTGCTGTCTTGTCTATCACTACCATGAAAACCTTTTAAGTATTTTACAAAATCATAAATTTATCTGATGTTCTTGTAGGTGGAATATTTAGAGTACTTACTGCTCTTGCTTACCCAGAATTGTTTTTTTTTTTTTTTACCACACGTCATGTCTTTCAACCATTCTTGTTACACAGATCTATTATAAAAGTTAAATAATATAAAATAATATATAAGTTAAGTCAGTAATTCATAGAGGGAGGTGACAGAACCCCAATATCTGTATAACTAAATTTTGGATCCTTTAAATCTCCTTTAATTTGTTCAGGGTAGCCAAAGATATGAGGAATCTTCTCTTTCAGCCTCTATTTGCCTTTGGAACATACTCTTGACACTCCCATCCTTGTTACAGTTCTTCTGGGCCATAGTGGAATATTGTACTTCTAACCTGTTAATATCTTTAAGAAATTTTTAAAATTGAAATTGTGTATATTTACGGTATACAGTCTGATATTTTGGTATACATATACGCAGTTATCTGATTACTACAGTTAGGCGAATTAACATATCTGTTTCTTCATGTAGTTACCATTTTTTTTCTTGTGGTGAAAAAATTTAACTCTCCTAGTAAATTTCAAGTATATAACACAGTGTTATTAATTAGAGTCCCCATGCTGTACATTAGATCTCTAAAGCTTAGTCATCCTATATAACTGAAACTTTGTACCCTTTGACCAATATTGCCCTATTTCCCTCACCTCCTCACCCCTGGTAACCACCATGCTACTCTCTGCTTCTCTAAGTTTGATTTTTTTTCCAAAGAGGAAATTTATTTTTCTATATTATACACAAAGAGAATATTAGTAAATATTGCTAATGATTAAAAAAAACTTTGTATACATAATTTCATAATTTTATAGATTTTAAACTTTGAATTATATTATCTGAGTCTTAAATATATTATGTCTCATTATTATGTTGCTATTAGGAAATAGTGAAATATTTTATTTTATTTGTTTATTTTTTATTTCAAAGTATTATTGGAGTACAAATATTTTTCGTTACATGGATTGCTTTTGTAATGCTCAAGTCAGGGTTAAAAGTGTGTCCATCACCCAGATAGTGTTCATTGTACCTGTTAGGTAGGTTTTTCCCATCCCCTCTTCCCCCTCTTCCCTGCTTGATTTCCTTTGAGATTTATTTCCCTCTATGCACATGTGTTCATCAGTTAGTTCCAATGTAATAGTGAGTACATATGATGTTTGTTTTTCCATTCTTTGGATACTTCACTTAGGATAACGGTCTCCAGTTCCATCCAAATTGTTGCAAACGGCATTAAGTCATCTTTCCTCATGGCTGAGTTGCATTCCATGGTATACATACACATTTTGTTAATCCACTCATGAATTGATGGGCATTTGGGTTGATTCCACATCTTTGCAATTGTGAATTGTGCTGCAATAAACATTCGAGTACAGGTGTCTTTTTAATAAAATGACTTACTGTCCTTTGCATAAATAACCCAGTAGTGGGATTGCTGGATCAAATGGTAGGTTGACTTTCAGTTCTTTGAGGAATCTCCATACTGTTTTCAATACAGATTGTACTGATTTGCAGTTTCTCTCTGTATCCACACCAACATCTATTGTTTCTGGACTTTTTCATAAAAGCCATCTTGACTGGGGTAAGGTGATATCACATTGTGGTTTTGAGTTGCATTTCCCTGATGATTAGTGACATTGAGAATTTTTTCATATGTTTATAACTATTTCTCTATCTTCTTTTAAGAAGCTTCTGTTCATGTCTTTTGCCCACTTTTTAACGGGGTTGTTTGATTTTTTTCTTGCTGATTTGCTTGAGTTCTTTGTAGATTCTGGTTATTAGTTCTTTATCGGACATATAGCTTCTGAATATTTTCTCCCATTCTGTAGGTTGTCTGTTTGCTCTGTTAATATTTCCTTGGCCGTGTAGAAGCTTTTTAATTTATTCAAGTCCCATTTATTTATTATTGCTGTTACTGTGATTGCCATTGGGGTCTTATTCATAAATTCTTTGCGTAGGCTGATATCTAAAAGAGTTTTTCCAACATTGTCTTCTAGAATTCTTATGTTTTCATGCCTTATGTTTAAGTACTTTATCCATCTTGAATTAATTTTTGTGAGTGGTGAGAGATTTGGATCCTGTTTCATTCTTCTGCATGTGGCTATCCGATTTTCCCAGCATCATTTATTATATAGGCATTCTTTTCCCCAGTGTATATTGTTGTCTGCTTTGTCAAAGGTCAGTTGGTTGTATGTGGATGGTTTTATATCTGGGTTTTCTGTTCTGTTCCATCAGTCTATGTCTCTATTTTTCGTAACAATACTATGCTATTTTGGTTACTATAGTCTTGTAGTATAGTTTGAAGTCTGGTAATGTGATGCCTCCCGATTTGTTCCTATTGCTTAAGATTGCTTTGGCTATTTGGATGCTTTTCTGATTCCACATGAAGGGTAGCATTATTTTTTCTAGATCTGTGAAATATGATGTTGGAATTTTGATGGGGATTGCATTGAATCTATAAATCATTTTGGGTAGTATGGACATTTTAATAATGTTGATTTTACTGACCCATGAACATGGTATGTTTTTCTACTTGTTTGTATCATCTGAAATTTCT